AAAAGAGTAAAAGGAAAGGTGCCATAAGGATGGTCCGCAAAAGAGATAAATCCCCATGCACGGCAGACCACCTTTAACAAAAAAAGAACAAATCCAAACTAAAATCAATCAAATCTTGCAGTCAAGTAATCCCTTACACCCCTTTGGTACTGATTCGATAAGGCGCTCCGTCCTGGAAACTACATATTAGTGTCAAATTGTAATTTCAACTGCTTGCGTGGCGGAAAAAAATTCAGTTTCGTGAGACGGCCTTAACATTCAAAGGCCCTAAATGCGAGAGATTATCTGAAATCTACATTTTCCTCCACATTTCATCGTCCGCTTTTCTCGATTGCTGTGGTGGTTTGTTTTGGTCGTTACGGTCGTTTTGTTGTGGTCATTACGTTCGTTTCGTGTCGTTTCGATCGCTTCGTTTTGGTCGTTTCGGTTGTTTCGCTTTTTTCGGTTGTTTCGTTTCGATCGTTTCGTTTCGCTGTTTCGGGTTTTAGTACATGCCCCGAAATCTGCAAAATAAAAATATTCCTATGACTTAGAACGTCAAACGATTGTAACGACAAGTGACGATGGCATGTAAAATACCTCTTATTCAGCTCCGCCGCGCTTGCCACAGACAGCTTCTCAAAGCCAGTAAAATATAGGCTCTAACGAATTGCTAGTCTTTAACTCGCATTTATGTCAATTTCCTTGTTCGGTCTGGTTAGATGTTAGATGAAGGAAAGATTAGAAGACCGTTACCATGACACTGGACGACTCAGCGGCAAAATGAGCGCGCATGCTCGGTACATTTAACGCCTGTAATTCAAGCGTGCATGAATTTCGTTGAAGAACGAACCGAACATCGTTTTACACTTTTTTGGACTGATATTGATGTGATTCGACCGAAAAATTTAACGGAGTTTGTTCTTATGGAAAATTCTGAAAGGGTAAGTACGATTATTTTAGTTATAGTTCAACTGAAGCTGATTTAAATCCATCCAGACAGCTCGTTGCGTGTTCCCTTCAATTCACCAATTTTATTTACAGAACGCATTTCATCATCTGTATTTGTTCAGTACAAGCTTTGAACTTGAAAAGCTTTATGATGTAACCTCTTTTGGTAATAAATGCTGTTTTACAATCGAAATTAGTTTTGAATCTGTAGCTAGTAATTACAAACTTGTCGCTCGGCCGTTATGCTTATATGAACGTTCTTTAGATCGACGTAAGCTTTATCGAACAGTGTACCAAGCAGTACCGCCCGATTGCTTCCTCAACACAACTTAAACGTAATGAATACAATAATATTAATACTTGACGCATATCTCAACCTTCTTTGCGTCTGGAAATATGTCGATATCACTTCACGATCAACCGCCGTTGTTTGACGTTTACATGCATTTCTTACTACACAGTGTTACCTGAAGTTGATGAAAGTAACCGTACACAAATTCACCATCGCAGATAGCTTTAACTTCAGCCAGTTTTATAGTCCTTCAATGTCACTGCGTTGAGACTGTGCGAGTTAGGCGCCTTTTCGTAAGTGGAGATGGCTATCCGTTAAGATTATGGTGTAAGTGTAACAGTTAAACCATTAATTATATTAGAAGCAGCATTTGTGTGTTTAAGTCTTCTACTGAGGTAAAAATTCAGAGAAGATTCTTCACTTTAATTAGGCTCCTTGACAAAACAAACAGGTAACTCTTCTTCATAGCTCAAACTACCCAGGCTACTTCTGACAAGAGGTATGGCTTTGACAATGCCAAGATATGAGTGTGACTACATGAAACTGTCATATGCCTGATTTTCCCCCCATCATACATATAATGAAGGCTAGAATCCAGCTTGGAGTCAGTGATTGGTGGTTATTCAGTTGAAGTAAGGATTTGTTTGTTAAGTAGGTCTTTGCTACCAACAAAGAAATAGCTGTACAAGCATTGCTGCCTTGACCACCCCCAATTGTTGACTGAGATAGGAAGACTGGCAGTTTGCAGAATGTGACTGATTGTGTAGTTGAAGATGGAACATGTATTGAAGTGTACTGTGGTGGTACACTTGAGTTAGAAAACTGTTGTTGAGCTGCTGTTGGTGTTTGTTGTCAAGATTGATTGTGTGATTGTAAAAGGTAAGGGCAGGTAAGGTGAGAACCTTGAGATTTTTGGTGGCTAGGTTACCCACAGTTGAAAAGTGATTTTGGCATGAATTTGCAACAGAGGTAGGCCTTTCTGCAGTATGTCGTCTTTCTTTAGCTGTCCTGTGTGGAACACCTGGTTGTGGTATAATTAGCAGTATTCCCCCATGACTGGGGGAATATGATAACCAGAAATCTGGAACAGTTAATTACACCACAACCAAGTGTTCCACAAGGGATAACTAAAGAAAAAGGACCACAGAAAGGCCTGCTTCTGTAGCAAATTCACGCCAAAACCACTTTTCAACTGTGGGCAACCTGGCCACCAAAAATTCTGAGGTTCATGCAAATAATCAAACACTGTCAGAAGCCCAACAACAGTTTTCTAACTCAATTGTACCACCAAAATTCACTTCAACTACATAATCAGTCACATCCTGGCAACTGCCAGTCTTCCTATCTCAGTTAGAAATAGGGAGGCAATGCAGCAATGCTTGTACAGTTATTTCTTTGTTGTTAGCAAAGACAGACTTAACAAAAAAATCCTTACTTCAACTGAATAACCACTGACTCCACATTTGATTCTTGCCTTCATGTCATGTATGATAGGGGGGAAATCAGGCATATAACAGTTTCATGCAGTCACAATCATATCTTGGTGTTGTTGAAGCCATACCTCATGTCAGAAGCAGCCTGGGTTGTTTGAGCTATGAAGAAGAGTCAACTGTTTGTTTTGTTAAGGAGCCTAATACAAGTGAAGAATCTGCTATGAGTTTTCACCTCAGTAGAAGGCTTACCAACACAAATGCTGCTTTTAATATAATTAATGGTTTAACTATTACATTTGTAAATGATGCAAATGACAACACCATATTAATGGATAACCATCTCCACCTAAAGGCACCTTACTCGCACAGTCTCAACGCTGTGAAATCGAAGAACTTTTGAATGGGCTGAGGGTAAAGCCATCTGCCACCATAAATTTGTGTACGGTTACTTTCATCAACTTCAAGATATGCACGTAAACGTCAAACAACGGCGGTTGATCGTGAGGTGATATCGACATATTTCCAGACGCAAAGAAGGTTAAGATATGTGTGAAGTATTAATGTTATTGCATTTATTAGGTTTAAGTGGTTATGTGGAAGAATCTGGCAGAATGGCTTGGTACACTGTCACATTTAAAAGCTGTTATCGATCAAAAGAACGTTCCCATATTTTATTAAGAAGTAGACCGAGCGGCAAGTTTGTAATCACTAGCGACAAATAAAAAACTAATTTCAATTGTTGCTTACTTTGAAAAGCTTTTGAAGTTTAACGCTTGTACTGAACAATACCGATGATGAAATGTCTTTTGTAAATAGAATTGCTGAATGGAACGGGAACACGTAACGGGCTGTCTGGATAAGTTTAAATCAACGTTGGTTGACTATAACCAAAATAATTCTCCTTGCCCTTCAAACTTTTCCATCAGAACAAAATCCATTAAATTTCTCCTCGGATCAAGATCAGTCTTAAAAAGAGCAAAACGTTCTTTTCGTTTCCGGAGGAAATTCATCCACACTGGAATAACAAAGCGCCAAATCCGCTGAGCATGCGCACTCATTTTGCCGCTGTGTCGACGCTGAAATCCGCCAAGCACGCGCACTCATTTTGCCGCTGTGTCTGTTTTGACTGTTTATTCAGACTGTCACTCAAACGTCAGAAATTAAATTCACGAGATGTAGGAATGAGGGAAAATTACGAAATTAAGAGATCCTCGCAGCTAAGAACACTACTGAAACGAGTAGTTGAAAATAGGACCTGAAAAAAATTCAGGCCCGTACGGGATTTGAACCCATGACCTCTGCGATACCGGTGCAGCGCTCTACCAACTGAGCTAACAAGCCAACTGGGAGCTGGTCAATGTGTTGGGTCTGACACTTTTTGACTACATATGGGAATGAAACCAACAATAAATGCATCATTCTCTCCTAGAAGTTTGATACCTTGCCACGAAAAAAGATTGAAGAATCTCTAAAATGTAAGTTTAAATTTTAATGCTGAGACACGTACTGACTAATGCTTTCGTAGTTTCCTTTTTTTCACGTCAGTTTTTAAACGAAATGCTTTGAATATTCCGTGCTTTAAATATTTCCTCAAGCCTCGTATTCCTCATGGTTGTCTTTGACAAATAAGTATTTACCACTCAAGTAAGCTCAATCATGCGTTTGATCTCAGACAGAAATCAAAAGTACCTACCCTGCACAATGAATTTTAATTCTTATCGTCGTGAACACATTTACCTCTGTGTGATGACGTACTGAATAAATTTTTTAATTACCGTATCCGTGTCTCTAAATGAAATGCTCCAGGTTAATTCTTAAAACGGAAATCTTTATTTAAACGCTGTTTCAAGTAACTCGATATATATGTGCGTACTGCATCATTCACTTAAGTTCGTCGGTTGTTTTTATCCGTCGTTACCAATCATTCCTGTAGAGTTCATCCTAAATGTTCTTCCTGACTTTCATCATATGGCGTACAGGGGGAATCGTGAATATTTTCATGAATTATCTGTTAACTGTTCGAAGCAATGCCCATAATTAATGTCACATCACAAAGATAGGCATGCGTAGCATGCAACAGTTATTTTTTCGGCTGAGCGGGTCGAGATGGGACACTGTATAACTTTCAAACAGACGAAATATCGCATTACTTCACCTCAAGAGAAAGGGAAAAAAGCTAATTCATCTGAACTCACACAGTCTATTGTCTAAATGCTCCTGAGCAAAAATAAAATGGATTGGTGCCACACTTACTGTTGTTTCCCTCGCAATTGTTGTTCTGTCGCGTCATACAACGCTATGTATTCCCCATTTGAGAGAGGGTGCGTTGCGTGATAAGACCAAATAACGGTTGCAAAAGAGACTACGCTTACTGCCGTTCCTCTAACGGGGAGAAAATCAAAATTATTCCTCTACAGTTAGTTGCTGGGATTGGTGTGATATGATTACATACCCTAATGCGGCAATCTGATGGGTGCAAGCAACATACCACTCTACACTCTAACATAAAGTTTTTTTTCTCATTTTGAAAAAAGAAAAAGAAAAAAGTGTCACTACCTTTCATCATGAATAGGGCCAAGAATAGGTAAACAATTTCATTTTTACGTGAATTTCACATCCAATGACTCAGTTCTTTCGAAGACATAATTTTTCCCTGATTCAAAGTGAAATTCCCTCACTTTTCCTTGGCCTTAAGGTAATTCGTTTTTCCCTGATTTTTCCTGACCTGTGACAATCATACCTTCAATAACTTGCAGGAAACGAAACACTATTTCTTTACGAGACATTTCCTTCCTGATCATAAAAACAATGAAAGACAGGCGCTATCTTTCAATTTTCCCAGTTCGGCTGTCTACAAACTTGACATCGTTGTCTTGGAACCGTTCAGAGTACACTTTGGTACTGAAGGTTATTCTCAAGGCTTTATTTGGATCTTTTTTATTATTAAAGTCAACATTTTTTTGAAGAGAAACTGAAAAACAACCATTATATTCAAAAATCGAGACGAGACGAGACGAGACGAAAATATTTTTCTGGATCCGGTGGTTGGAAGGGTAGATAACGCTATCCACTGGATAAATCTCTAACCGTTGGATAGCACATGTTGTTAACACTTATCCACTGGATATGGATTTATCCGTTGGATAGCGTTAACCGCCCTCTGAACAACCCTGGGTCCTGGCTATTTATTCATGCAAACTTAAAACGCGAATTCGTGACAAGCAGGTGAAGAAATATAGCATGGATATTTAACTTCTGAAGCTTAAGTTCCTTAGGGTATTTACGAAAAGAAAAGTCCGAATTTGTGGAAACATTGTAGTAGTTATAAGCGCAACAGTAGTGAACCATTCTTCACGCCAAGCAATAATTCATTCTAGTCACGACTGTTGTTTATCTATTACAGACCAAGTCGAGAGCAAGTGTCCAATCGATGACGTTTGAAGCTCAAAAGGTCCACTAAAGAGTACATACAAAGCTTCTACTCACCTCTAGAAACTCACATATAGTCTGTAATGCAGTCCTTATCGTTGCCTTGTGATCTGCCGACCAAAATATTAGAATCAGCAATCGTGTTTCTGATGAATTCCAACCGAATTCTTCATCAGTTTAGAAGTTCCGAATTAATGCTAACACTTAGATCATTTCACTGCATGAATAAAAGGTTTCAATATCAACCTTCGAATATTTATTATTTTTAACATAACTTGGCACGTATGGGGCCGAAGAGATATTTTCTTGGCGCGGTATCAGTCTGAAAAAGTTTTGACCGCATGTTAAAGAACGCTCTTTGGTCCATCCTTCCCCCTTTCTTGACATCTCTCTCCAAGCGCCAATAACTCTATGAGCCTGAGAATTAGCCTGAAAAACTTTTGCAGGCTATCGAGGCGAATGTGCTAATACCAACTAGATATGGGGTTACAATGTTAATTCGGTGAAATTCTTGGTTTGTTGTTCTGCGTTTTTCAGGCTCAGTTCCAAAGGTCAATCCATGGTGCAGTGTTTGCAACCATTATAGAGGCGCCAATTCATTTTATTTGCGAACATGAATCGTGGACCGGCGGAAAATTTTGTTAACTCCGAATTATTATCCAACTGTACAAAGAAGAATACAAATAACGCGCGAATAGAGTGCAAATATCCTACGATATTGGTTGTGTTTTCACTTGGACTATTTTGGTTATATGAAGTCGGAAAAGTCCGGAAATTCAGTGAAAACAGTTCGTCTTGAGTTCAGCCAGTTAAGGATACACGCTGTTTTCACCAGAAAAACAAGCGATTATCTAGCCTATATGACCGGAAACTCACGCCAAGTTATACTACCTCGCGAGATGGTAGAACTTGTCCTGATAAATGCCGCAGCCAATCGCATCGCGCGTAGTGACTGACGCGTGCCAAATACTCTGGCTAAGTTTGCCTCGTGGTTTATTAAAGTTCGGAAAATGGCTGACGACTTCAATAATGCTTTCCGTTTCTACCGATTTATAATCCCTTCGCCGCAGTTGGATTCGCCAGTTCCTCGGCCAAGACCGTACTTATTTCATGGCTCTAGCGTACGGAATCAGTTCAGCCAATCAGTTTGGATTGACAGGATTACCATATTCCGTCGAATTCTCCTCGTCTGAACACAGGCGGCCCAAGCTCCAGCTGTGAGACGATCATCTTACGCAATAACGGTCATGGCGGAATTATAAGAGTTTGTACAGGAATATTTACGAGCGCTCTAAGGAATAAAAAAATACGTCAAATTCTCAAAAAAAATACCTCACCTCGCTTCCACAGCGTATTGCTTGTTATCTGACCGCTTACTTGGATGAAAAGAGCCCATTTGAGCGAGTTGTTCATTTCGAGGTTTTCAACGTACATAAGCTTTTCTTATGTACGTTGAAAACCTCGAAATGAACAACTCGCTCAAATGGGCTCTTTTCATCCAAGTAAGCGGTCATATAACAAGCAATACGCTGTGGAAGCGAGGTGAGGTATTTTTTTTGAGAATTTGACGTATTTTTTTATTCCTTAGAGCGCTCGTAAATATTCCTGTACAAACTCTTATAATTCCGCCATGACCGTTATTGCGTAAGATGATCGTCTCACAGCTGGAGCTTGGGCCGCCTGTGGTCTGAAGAGACTTCCTCTACAAGAATTGCCTTTTCCTTCGCATACATATTGCGAAAATCAGCACGAGAGAAGTCATCAAGAATGATTCATCTCCTGCCTGAAATGTGCGCACTTTTGTAATTTGAATCGTCTGAGTCAGCGAGTTTTAAAAATTTTAAAAAATCCTAAATGCTAGCAAAACAGAAAACGTTACCGAAGTTTGATAGCTTTATTGGATAGAAAGGTTAAATCTGATAGCCTTTACAGGATGTGGACGAGCGGCACAAACAGCTAAAAATACAAACGGTAACATTGAGTCTATTAGGAAATATATTCCTTTGAAGTAGATGGCCGCTCTCCAAGTCCTTTACTTGAAGTCAATTTTCTGTTGGAGAAATTGCAGAACCCTTACGTTTCCGATTGCGTGGCTGGATTGTGACCAACTCAGCTGACGTTCGAAAGTTAGGCTATTTACTCAGTTCTCATGTGACTAGCGTACAGCGCATAGGGCATAAGGTAATCTTGATGGTGTACAACACAAAACAAATAATCGACAACCATAATAAACGCTGACTATTCTATCTCATGGCGCGTCTTATCATCTAACTCTCCCTACAACAGCTCCAGTAAAAGATGCAACCTCTGTCTAAAAGAAAAATTCCTGATAATTTACCGACCCGACCTCTCATCACTGAATAAGCGTAACGAACTCGTATCTTCATGCCGACACAGAAACAAAGCGTTGCTACGCAACAGCTGAACTTTAAAGTTTTTAAGTTTACCGCGTATTATGCAAATTTTCCTAGTATATAAACGATAGTCACATGAACATTCTTTCATTAAACCCCTGAAGAGTGAAGCGATTCACGAAACAGGCTTGTCGGGAAATGTAGTTACGTCCCCTTTTTTCCTCTCATAATATTTATCCTGCTCTGCTTCAACGTATTGAGCACTGTTCCACGCGAAAATCGACTTGCAGACTTCCTATATATATATATATATATATATATATATATATATATATATATATATATATATATATACATACATACATACATACATACATATACACACTCGTTTTCAAAACGTTGCAATTTGAACATACATATTTAGTATATTTTCATATTTTCTTTTCTCATTAAAAAGGTGTTTGTATATTGATGAGAAAAAAGGTATATGCATTCAATATATATTTTCAATTGCAACGTTTCAAATACAAACAACGAGTAAAAATGCTCTGCGATACTAAACACCAAAACGTCTAAGAAGTCATTTGTTACCCAACTGCTTTTTTTCTGCTCAAGTACTCTAAAAACGCTGCGTCTGAGTCGCGTTAACATAACATGATAAGCGAGCGACATACCTGTGCAATGTGAATGATGAAAGCAGTATCGAGCAATGGATACAATAATCATATCTGAACGAGTTTTACTCGGTTCTCAAAGTTGGCGGACAAAAGAAGCAAAAGTAGGAATATTTCATATGACCTCCTAATGAAGATGCAATTTAGGGGGTTTTGTTTTGTTTTTAAGATATTGCTAATTTGCGAAATGATTGCAGCACGTGGTTAACCAATGGATAAACTGAAAAATGCTGTTTTCAATGTGGTTTTGGTCGTGCGACTATCTCATGATAAACCACGCAAGCAACACATTTACGTGATGACGGTGACCGCGAGCTTAGACTGCACGTGACTGAACCAAGTAGGGGATTAACGAACTTTTCTTCTATGAAAGAATAAAATTGCAAAAAATGCGTTAGCCTAAAAAGAGCGAGTTAACGTTACAAGCTCGCGATCGTTTATCCGGCCGACCATGTTTGATGTAGGGTTAGAGCGGTAGGGGGGGGGGGGGGAGGGGGGCGGGGAAAGGGCTCACCCCCTTCCCAGAGTCCCTTCCCCTTTCTTTGACTGTCACTCACCCCTTAGTTTGAATCGAGTTGACGGCAAGGCTAAGCCAGCATTTTTTCGCCTAAATGCTCGCTTGTTCAACTCGCTAGTCCTCGTGGAGCCCATTACGCTGGGAAGCTGACCAACTGTATTCTTCAAACTGTTCGTCTTAGGCTATGTTACACTTGGCATAGGAAAAATGAATCCATAAAAGCCGGCGATACGTAAGAGTATCACCATAACTAAAATAAATGGTCTGGGGAAAGTATTCGTTGAAAGATTAAAGCTCCGATGGCAAAATGTCTCAAATGCCAGGCGACTTACTGGCTAAGGGCTAGTAAGCTCTATGTCAACGGGTTATAAGTAAGTAAGTGAGTAAGTAACTTTGTAAGGAAGACCGCATTCACGTAAGACCTCACCAACCGTGCCCGTCACTATAAATTTCGCATGCCGGAGTTGGTTCGGAAGCTGAGGGTCGCTGGTTCGATACCTCTAGGTGAAGTGATAGGATTTTCATTGCACTTCGAAAGGTTTTTCCCCTCTTTTTTTCCTTTCTTCTACCAAATGTTATGATAAGCAAGGTTCAAATATGACGCGATAGTGCAATTTCGGATAATAGGCCTCAAATCGCGTCAGATAGCTGCCAGAAGTCGGATGTCAGTCAAATGGTCGCAAGATATAGAAAGATGTATGTTTAATTATATGAAAAATTGTTAGAATTTTGTCAAATGCGAACATTCCGATTGAAAAATAGCCACTTTTACAATCAATGTGGCGTTTACGAAGCAGTCTGCGAACTGTCCACGAACCAATGTTACTCGATGTACTGTTCATTACCGCTAAACTCATCTCCTTTCAGAGGACCATTTTTTTTTTGTCATGACCGTATGACATCGACTAGAAAGTAAACATTGGGCAGTCGTCGTAGGTGAATTGCTTAAATTGATTAAATCTGATTCAATCAAACTGAGGCATCTGCGGAATTAAATCTGGCACTCTAAAAGCGAATTATTCGTGAATTTGGTAGAATTGTGTAGGAGGAAAAAAAAGCCATAACAGAGGGGGACTGGCCAGAGAAAACATTTCCTTTTAACGTCATCTGCCTGAGCAATGCAAAATACAAAACAAGGAAAACGGAAAAGTTTGCATTTCGCTTGTAATTTCGATTATTTTTTTGCAATAACACTAACCATCATTCGAGCTTTCCCGATTATTACAGCTAATGGCTGATAATAGCTTCATTTTCTAGGATTTTAAAAACAGCAAAAGCTGTTCGCAACGACATTTTCCTTTGTGCCGACGACACATTTTGAATTTGACTGTCTGCATTCTCAAATAAATGAAATAAATATTTCAAGTATTTTCTCCTGTAGTTGATAAGAAATAATGAACTGATCGGCACAGGAGAGCCACGACTGAAGAAACTGGACAAAAAAACCTGAAAATGTTCAGTCTTCGACAGGTTTCGACCCTGTGCTTCCAAGTGCCATTGTCAAGCGAACTTCGAAACCACATTCTCGTGCGAGGCAAATTTTTGTTTTTTGCCTGATATTCGATGAGAAATATGATCACAAATGCAATAAGATAAATCATAAATCAGTCACGAACGTATCCACACAGGTAATTTGCGATTGAAGAAATTGTAATCGGATTAAACTACTGAACTGTTGACTGTTTACAGAAAGGATCACTCCAAACATTTTAATGCTGCCTGCATGTACCCGCGCAGAAATCGTGGAAATATATCTTCGATCCTGACTTTTTTTATTTAAATACTGAGGGTTGAATTGGCTTAACACTGAGCTCGCCACCAAAGCCCTTTTGATAAATTTCCTGCAAGTGCTGCTCTTCGGTCGAAGGATGTTTATGTAGGAAAATAGTCATTAATCAAATATCTATTATCGTGTCCTTACTGACTGATAATCATCTCGATTGTTCTGTATTTCCTAAACGTTTCCCAATAAAGCTATTTATAATATTAAAGATCGCAGCAATGGTTTTGAAGTGTTAGAATTTTCTGTCTCCATAAGAAGAGAAATGACTCCGGAAGCTCAAATTCGAAGTCACATCAAATGCTTTGTTTCCGTGAGTGTTGCTTACCTCTCAATCATATACGACTTGATATAGCAAAGTCAGGATAAACTTTGCGCAGACCAGTTTTAACTAATTCATTAGTCACTTTTTGATCAGCTATTTGATTTTTTCCCTCATCTTAGCCAACATTTACATATTTGGCTTTCTTAGTGCGGGTGACAGGTCATAAGCACCTGTAAATATGTTTATTAAAGTCACGCAGAAATATGACTGGTATTTCCTCCATGAAATAGTCTCCTGAATTGAACAAGACTTATTGAACTGATCAATAGTAAATACATCATAAAAATAGGCAGTCTGATACTGCATGTGGCTCCTTATATAGCACCATTTTTGAGTTTTTTATTTTTTTAAAAAAATAATAACTATATGTTATCGTGTATAGTGGTATGTTGCTTGCACCATCAGATCGCCGCATTAAGGTATGTATCTCCCACCAGTCATATCACAGCTATCAGATATTTTGCACCAATCACAGCGTTTGCAAATGATGTCATGGAATCAGGGGAGCTGTGCATTAACCAGAAATATTGGGCTCATTTGATAAGTGTAATGGTTTGTAGCCTTGCAAGAGCCTCGTCGATAAACGTCGGGAAATTAAAGGTTCACATTTAACTTTTTATATCATTTTAAAGTTAAAACGTGTTTTTCCGCTCCTTTTCTCACAACGTACGCTTCAAACAACGGATATTACATCACGTACTATGAAAATAATGTTCAAAGTCCAATCAGAACATACCCAATCATTGCACTACATGAACATTGGGCAATTTTTTACGTGGTTGAATTGTATTCCACCATTTAAATTCTATTTTGCCACATTAGACTTCGCTCCGTTTCGTGTCATTTCCTTGTAAACAACCTGCTGTTTATCACGGATTCTAACCGCATCGTCCAACCCGACTGAAACAAATTCATGTGGAACTAAATGCTGCTGATAGTGAATTTTCCGCGCAATTTTCCCGCGTTTTGACTTTGTCTGCGAATAAAATTGGCTTTTAGCTACCTTGGACTTAACGAGTGTTAATTCCTTGTAAACAACCAGCATTTTATCACTTATTTCATACTCAGAGGCAAAGTCCACACAGGCAACAACCAATCAATGAGCCTTCTTTGAAATATTATCTTGTTCTTTTTTTCACTGTATCTTCACCTACCAGAGACCGTAACATATCTTTGGTAAGGGTCTACTGTTTCAGTTTGCTTTTCGTAGTCGTAGAATTATATTTTTGAGGCAATTAACTGTAGACGAATAATTTTGATTGTCTCTCTGTTACAGGAACGGCAGTAAGCGTAGTCCCTTCCGCAACAGTTCTTTGGTCTCGTCACGCAACGCGCTCTCTTTCCAACGGGGAATAGATGATGTTGAATGACGAGACCAAACAACGACTGTGATTCGGAAGACAAAAGTACGCGTGGCACCGATGCATTTTAGTTTTGCTTAGAAGTATTTAGACAATAGAGAAAATAGGCCACAAAATACCTGTGTGAGTTTAAATAAATTAGGTTTTTTTTCTTTCTTTCAAGGTGACGTAATGCGTTACTTTCGTTATTTGAAAGTTTTGCTCTTTTTCTCTTACAAAAATTAAGCACTAAGTTCACAAAGTGTCCTCAACCTACCCAGCCATCGCACGCCAAACTACTAGACTAGCGGAACTGTATTTTATCCAGGCATATCTTGCATATCATGACAGTTTGATGGTTTAAAAAACATGAATATTTGTTTCCCCAAAATTTGGAAGCCTCGAGGCAGGACATCGGGTCCTTTGAAGATTGACGAAAATTTGGCGATTTGCAAACATTTTAACAAATTTTTCAAATTGGGCGTCGCACCTATTTTACCCTGCTTGTTGACAGATTTTTCATTTAAACAAACAAAAAAATTCTAGTCCAGTGACGAATTTCTTAACACCTCACGGGCACCACTACTCCAACAGCGAGCTCGTATTCATGGGCAGCTAAAGCAGGTACTGGGAACGATTTATGCCCTGTAGACTCTTCGGATTCGCGCGTTTTCGCAAACCTGAAGTACATTATTTGTATTTTACTGACTTAAAAAAAAGTAATGTCATAAACAGGCGGTCATGGGCAACTAAGAAACCCTCTTGGTACACCCTGTTCGAGTACGTCATTACCTTGGCTTATTCATAATCATGTTGTTCGAATCGTGGCGGACGAATTGGCTTCAAATTTTGTACTTTATATTAATGAACACTTGCGTCCAGATCAGGCTTACGACTACAACTGACTAGAAATTCTGACAAACGATTCACTTCTCCATTTCCTGTGATCAATTCACGTCTGTTATACGCACAAAATTAGAGCTGAAAATGTAACAACTGTGGCTAGCAGAGGCCCTCCCTAGGAAGTTCTTCGACATCTTTTGGTAAAGTTAACCAACTGAAAACAATTTCACATCGTCAGATCCCTAGTTGATATCGATGAATTCTGCGGAAATTAAGGCTCTGAGGGAAACGTTTACCCCAGACAACACGAGCAGCTGTGATTATGATCTGAA